CTTGCCAATCACCTCCCAAAGACCAATTAGAGTGCACAGACTAGGCCTCCTCCAGATTCCATCTGCCAATGTTGGCTGGCGACTCCCCGGGGGAGGGCCTTCTCTGTTGCAGCTCCAGCCCTCCGGAACGATCTCCCCGTTGAGATCCAGACCCTTACTACCCTTCTGGCCTTCCGTAAAGCAACTAAGACCTGGCTGTTCCGGCAGGCCTGGGGCTGTTGAAGTATCCAGCCCCACTTTAAGTTATGAATGTTGCTGTAATTTTAAATTTGTTGTATTGTTTTATATATTCCCCCTCCCTTTTTTATTGTAAGCCGCCTGGAGTCTTCCGAGAGTGGGCGGCATACAAAACTAATAAATACAAATACAATACAATAGTCTTCCCGACATATGGTTTGGCAGTTAAACCAGCTACCCAGGGATGGGTTCCGGCTGCTGCTACTGCACATTACTTTAAAAAAATGCTTCTGCGTATGCACAGAAGCAAAAAAACAAGATGGTGGTGCCTACAGCACCGCCAAGAGAACCGATTCGGGGACGTGGCAGGCCAAGTTACTACCTGCTCAGCTGAACCTGTCCGAACCGGTAGGAACCCACCTCTGTAGCTAACACATGTGGTTTTTTTGTTTTAATCTACTTTAACCAGTGAAAGAGATTCATTGAAAAGCAAAATATATGTGTAACACCGTGAAATCACTGATGGTTATCCTGCGATGGTGATCTGCATGGCATGTGCTTAGAGATGATACATTAAGCATTCACAGAATTGTTCATGTTCAGGGTTTAATATAACAGCAAATTGAAAGACAATGAACCTTTTTTTAATATAAGTAACCTCCTCCTGATTCTCATCGTAAATTAAATAGCAGCATTCAACCGTAAATTAAAAAACAACAACAATACATCGCATCTTTCCTCGTGCCTATATTTTTAGACTGGACTCCTCTCCTTTGTAAAATGTGATGTGCATTGCATTAACAATTACATGTTTTCATTAAAAAAATAAAACTAGATAATCAAACACTTTTTAAAACAAACAAACAAATCTGTAATAATAGTATAAGCAATATTACTATTATTATTGCGAGAAGCATTCTCTAGGTGTTGGCTATTAGGGAATGCCAACAGGCAGGGCCTAGAAAGAGAGCCTTTTTTGTCATGGAACTTACCCTTTAGAATGTCATATCTCTGGGGATCAAATTGACTATTGGCTTTTTGTAAGGTCTTGAAAGACTTGATTTTGCCAGTGGCTTTGGGGATCCAGGAATGCGCCATGGTGGTGCAAAGGTTAGAATGCAGTATTGCAGGCTAATTCCGCTCACTGCCAGGGGTTCGAGCTTCACCGGCTCAAGGTTGACGCCACCTTTCATCCTTCCAAGGTTAGTAAAGGGGTCAGTGAAGGTCAGTGAGGACCCAGATTGTTGGGGGCAATATGCTAACATTTTTAAACCACTTAGAGAGGGGCTGTAAAGCAGTGTGAAGCGGAATATAAGTCTAAGTGCTATTGCCATGCAAGGAAGCTTGTACAATGGCTTTACTGGTTGTTGTTAGCAGTTCTTGGTATACCTTGGTGTTCTGACCCCCCTCGTTCCACACCAAAGCACACTCCGAGCCAGAGATAAATTACAGCATTTAATTAACAGACAAACTGGTCCTTGGCAGCAACCCGGCACAGACAAGCTTGGGAAGTAATAAACACAGATAAGGCTTGGCAGCAATCCAGTCTGCCAAGCTCATACAAAGTTCTCCAACATTTGATTCTGTGCTGACTACTGCAAAGAGGGCGTGTGCACAAGTAGCCTTTTTATAGTCTGGAGAGGAGCCTAATGACCACCAGCAGAGTGCCATCACCTCCTGTAATTGCGTAATTGTTCCTGACGCCTAGTAGCTCTTTGATGGCATGCATCCAGGAATAATTCACTACTGGCCTCCGGCTCACTCTCCCTTGTCTCCTCCCCCACTGGTCCAAGGCTCAGGTGCCTCCTGGTGGCCAACCAGCCTCTCTGCACCCTGCTCGGAGTCGGAACCCTGTCCAGGGTCCTCCACATCCTCCAGAGCCGACTCAGAGGGCCCCTCGCTGTCGGAGTCTCCAACGGCTCTTGCTGGGCCACAACACCTTGGGTTGTTGCATGGCTTTTTATACTGTTTTATATATGTCACTGTATTTTTTGTCTGTTTTTCATATAACTTAAATTGCTCTGAACTACCCAGAGTCATGGATTTGAGAAGAGTAACTATATATAAGTTGAAATAATAAATAAGTAATAATAATACAAACATTTCTTGATGAAGTGCAGTTGAAAATATAGATTCTGCTTTGCATTTTACATATGACAGGTTAAAAGATATACTAAGTAGACACCAACTTACTCTGCCAAACCTAATATGGTTTCTCTCTTGTATTGACCATCTGCTGTAAACCTTTGGACATCCACTCCTTTGCCAAGGCCTTGAAGAATTTGAGCCTGGGTGAAATCCAAGAGTCGTTCATTATAGTACTGAAGATGTTTAATCAGAATTGCTATTTCTTCTGGCCAGTCCGCATAGCTGGAGTTGGTAACATGCTTTGTGACCATCTGAATTATATCCTTGGGGTCAGCCTGTAGAATTAATTCACAACACACTGAGATTTACATTTGTTCGAAGAATCATGTTATGATGGCATTTTTAACTGTCTTCAAAATGTGGGGGTACATCGAGGGTTTTGGGGGGGGGGGTTGAGAAGAAAAATCTTACTTTCATACCTTTTAATCATTTCCAAACGAAAGTAAGATAGCAAGCAAGCAAACAAAAAAAATCCTTATCTTCAAAACACACTGCTAGCAGCAACAATAAAAAATCACTTTACTTTCTCAAATTTTGCCGATTCCGCCACTTGCAAACTTTTGTACTATAAGCATTTCTTAAATTGCAATTGATCATAAAAATTGACAGGCAACAAATGTATTCTTTTTTTTTTTAACTGGGGGAAACATTCAAACTCTTAAAAGTTGTTTTAGTACCAAACCCTTAAATCTATTTATTTAAAATGTAAGAGTTCTAGTACCCTCAGAACCGACAAAAAAGCTTGAACGTTTCTTTCAATTTTACCAGGAAATAAAAGTGATCATTGAATTCTTTTTTCTTTTTAAAGATAAAAAAAAAAGAAGTTTATTTCAAACCTCCACTCTGTTTTGTTTTAAATTAGGCAGCTTTATCTTTTTATAAGGAACTACTCCATGTACAAATTTCATTCAATTTTTCAAAGATAAGTAAAATTTATTTTCCTGTGTTAATTTACAATATCTTATTTGCAAACAAAGATTTAGATTTTACCTTTGGATGGAAATGAGTCTATTTTTTTTTCCAAATTGCAGTTTAAATTAAATATTATCAATGCATATACCTAATAAAAACTCCCGCATTTTACAATATTGCTTTGTGACTTTACCACTTTCATGGTGAGGTCAAAATCCACAATTTACTTAGTTCCATCAAGTACTGAGAGACATGTTGTAAGATTTGACTACATCCCATTCTATTTTTATAAAATATTACTGGTTGCTCTTCACAGTAACCTAATAAAGGTTTCTTTTAAGTTATCAATAACCAAAACACCATTTACTTGTTTGATACCATATAACTGCATTCTAGAAAGTGTGTTCCACTTCTATTGGAATTTTAAAAGCTTATCAATCTACAAAATATGATCATTTCATCGGCACTGCTGTCTTACCAATTTTTAAAGTTGAAGATTTAACTGGACATGCTGACAACAAATACATGTTTTAATACACAAGGTCTCTTTCTCCCGAATTGATATAAAGAAGGATGGGTTGCTGTATCCTTTCCTTTAACTATAGTAATTTTTCTCAAAATCCCTCTCAAGGAGCCACCACTTTAAACGTTAAATCAACGTTTTGAACTTGACAGACTATTTTTAAAACAAGTCCTGTATATCAGCATTATTGTAGCAATTGCCAGGACTATGTCTATATAGGAAGCAGCAGGTGAAGCTAAACAGAATCACATCGATACCTGTACAATTAGCACAGGGCGCCCCCAAAGCTGTGTGTTCTCCCCACTTCTCTCTCTATACCAGTGAGTGCACCTCAAAAGATCCACCTGTTAAACTACTGAAGTTTGCAGATGATACAACAATGAATCCGCATACAGACAGGAGGTTGAACAACTAGCCTTGTGGTGCGACCGGAACAATCTGGAACTGAACACACTCAAAACCACAAAAAAGGTGGGAGACTTTAGGAGAAACCACGCCATACTACCACCTCTTACAATACTAGACAATACAGTATCAACAGCAGAGACCTTCAAATTTCTAGGTTCGATCATGTCGCAAGACCTAAAATGGACACCTAACATCAAAAACATCGTCAAAAAAAGCACAACAAAGATGTTCTTTCTGTGCCAATTCAGAAAGCTCAATCTGCCCAGGAATTGCTGATACACTTCTCCAGAGGAATTATTGAGTCTGTCATCTGCACCTCTATAACTGTCTAGTTGGGTTCGGCAACCCGACAAGACAGACTAATTATTCAGAGGATAAGTAGAACTGTGGAAAAAACAATTACTACCAACCTGACTTCCACTGAGGACTTGTATACTGCACAAGTCAAAAAGAAGGCTGTGAAAATATTTACATTCCCCTCACATCCTGGACATAAATTGTTTCAACTCCTACCATCAAAACGACTCTGTAGAGTACTGCACACCAGAACAACTAGACACAAGAATAGTTTTTTCCCGAACGCCATCACTCTGCTAAACAAATAATTCCCTCAACATTGTAAAACTATTTACTAAGTTTTCATTACTATTGCTATGCTTCTCATTGTTCCTATCACCCATCTCCTCCCACTTTTTCCTTCCAATTTATACTGATTGTTTCCTAATGTGATTTGATTGCTTACTTGTACCCTATGACTATAATTATGTGTTATACCTTATGATTCTTGACGAATGTATCTTTTCTTTTATGTTCACTGAGAGCATATGACAAATGCACCAAAGACAAATTCCTTGTGTGTCCAATCACACTGATAAAGAATTCTATGCTATTCTATTCTATTTTTTTAAAAAATGTATACCTCTCCCTCTTTTTCAAATTCCATGAACTGAATTGCATTTCTTTACTTTTCCTCTTTTTAAATAACATATCAAGACAGGAAATACAAATGTAAGAATTCTGAAAAGTAAGCAGGTGAATTATTTGGAATATATAGTATATCCATATCTTAGCATTACCTCCTTTGGTACTCTCTGTATAAGCTAAAGTGACTGCTTTTAGAATTAAAGTGTGAGCATGCTGCCTAGCAATTCTGGAAGTTTTAATATCACCTTGTGGAAAATTGGCTAGCAATATTTTTGGAATGTGTCACTCTCATGCTTAGAAACGACTGATACTCTTAGGTATTTCGTCACCACCGTTTCCTGAAAAAGTGAATTCCACAGCTGACTATATATTGCACTGGTTTACATCTTACGTCTGCAAAATAAAGAACTTATCTGACTATATTATACTTGTCAGCTTCTGGTACAAACAACTTCCTGAATATGGGTTTAAGCATATGGAAAATCCAGACTTGTAATCATGCTCAGCCTGAAGTCT